AGAGTTTTATTATAGTTATAAGTTTTACTTGTAAAAACTTATGTTATGTACACATATATGCCTTAAAAAAATAATTTGAGTTTAAAATTTCTAAAAATAACACAATACGTGTTGCGCTTGTACTTGGCGCCATTTTTTTTACTTTTTTGTTTAAAAAGGTAAGTTTTATATAAATTTTACTTGTAAAAATTGTATATACGTCACGTATATACACCATTAATATGTAAATGCCATTAATTTATACTTGTAAATTATCTTTACCTAATTCGCATATTACCTGCACTACTTGCGTTATAATTTTTATAACGATATAATTTTTACTTTTAAAAGTTTATGTACATATATTAAAAAACTTATGTTATATACATAATATATATCTTAAAAAAGAAAATAATTTGAGATTTCTTATATACATAATATATATCTTAAAAAAGAAAATAATTTGAGATTTCTAAAACTATTAAGTTAAGTATACAATAATCATATATATATATATATATTGGGTGAGTGCAAAAGTTCGTGCGGAGTTTGTGAGTAAAAGTCACACAGTGATTAGGCAAACAAAAATCTTTATTCAATCAATGATATATTCTCCATCGTTTTCTATAATCTTTTCCCAACGTTCTGGCAGCATACGGATGCCTCGATCATAAAAACTGCGCGGTTTAGATTCGAAGAACGAAGAGACGCCGTTTTTTAAGGCCTCCAAAGAGTCAAAGTTTTTTCCATTTAAATAATTTTGCAATGACCGGAACAAGTGATAGTCAGATATGCGATATCAGGAGAATACGGTGGATGCGTTAAGACATCCCATTTCAGGCTCTTCAGTTTGCGCAGCGTCTTTTTCGAAACGTGTGGTCTGGCGTTGTCGTGATGAAAGACGACTCCCTTGCGATTTGACAAAATCGGACGTTTCTCTTTTATTTCTCGATTCAGATCGGTTAATTGGCGACAGTACTTGTCCGAATCAATCGTTTCGCCAGCGGGGAGAAGCTCGAAATAGATTATGCCCTTGCAATCCCACCAAACAGAGAGCATCACCTTCATCGGGTGCAAACTGGCCTTTGGCATTGCGTCACCATGCTCACCTGATTGTTTCCATGTCCGTTTGCGCTGAACATTGTTGTAGAGGACCCATTTCTCATCGCCCGTCACTAGTCGATCCAAAAACGACTCGTTATTGAGCCGCCCGAGTAAAGAAACGGCTGCAGAAATTCGCTTGATTTTGTTCTTCTTGGTCAGCAAATGGAGCACCCATATATCGAGCTTCAAATCGAATCCCATCTTTTTTAAACGCCGAAAAACGGTTGATCGGTCAACGTTTAGTGCTGTAGCAACTTCTTCTGTTGAAATTCGCGGATTATTGAGCACTAAAGTACGCAAAACATCGTCATCAATGTTAGAAGGTCGACCAGAGCGTGGCTCGTCTTCAAGGTTAAATTCTCCGCGCCGAAATTTAGCAAACCATTTTTCCACAGTTCGTTTAGCTGGTGCTTCATCCTGATAAACATCCTGAATGTTTTTTACGGCTGCGGCAACGTTTATTCCCTTCCGAAACTCGTAAAGCATAACATGCCGTAAATGCACCTTATCGATACTCATTTTTAAAGTGATATTTCTCGAAGCAGTTTGTATGAAAACAAATGATTTTTTTTTTAATAACAGCTGAAGACGTCACCTTTCCAACGTTATATAATATGTAGATGGAAGTATTAATGACAACACTTTACGACGCTTATAACTCCATCTATTGAAACTCCGCACGAACTTTTGCACTCACCCAATATATATATGTCAGGTTTCTCAGTTGGCGCTACTATTCTAATATATCACTTCTTTTGTACAGTAAAAAAGTGTTGCAGAGTTTTATTATAGTTATAAGTTTTACTCGTAATAATAATATACGTGTATATGTATGTTATTACGAATATGTAAACATATATACCAAGAGGCACAAATGCTAGGAAAAGCTAAGCAATTCGAAAATATTGTCGTACATGTAGACGTGGACGCGGACCTTCAATACCTAAAAAATGTTTATGTACGTTTGTACGTATATATATATACATATGTTTGTATGTATATACGTAAGTATTTACGTACATTTGAATAAGTATTTACGTATGTATGAACATTTGTATGTACGTATGTATGTATGTGTGTATGTACGTGTGTACGTATGTACATACGTATATACCTATGTATGTATATAATATACTATATACGTATGTATGTACGTGTGTACGTATGTACATACGTATATACCTATGTATGTATATAATATACTATATACGTATGTATGTACGTATGTACATACGTATATATCTATGTAGATACGTATGTACATAGTATAAGTTTTACTTGTAGAAACTTATGTTATGTACACATATATACCTTAAAAAAATAATTTGAATTTGAAATTTTTGAAATAACACAATACGTGTTGCGCTTGTACTTGGCGCCTTTTTTTATTATCTTCACCGTAATTCACAGTAATTGAAAGGCGATCACCCTGGACGAGTCAATAAACACCGGTATTGATTTTTCGATGGCATAGCTCATCACATCGTCTGCTCAGCATCAGCTGATCGGCAATCAAATGACGTGCGTCATAACATACCAACGCATACCAACATTCTCACTTTTTTATGCCTCTCTCTTTCATCCCTCTCGCCCGTTCTCTTTCTCGCCTGTTCCCACCCTGCCTTCCTCTCTCTCTCGCTCTCTCGCTCTCGCTCTCGCTCTCTCGCTCACGCTCTCTCTCTCTCTCTCCCTCTCTCTCTCTCTCTCTCTCTCTCTCTCTCTCTCCCCCCCTCTCTCTCTCTCTCTCTCTCTCTCTCTCGCTCTCTTTCTCTCTGTCACACATTTTCACTTCCTGTATTCTAGCAATATTCTTCTCTTTCTTACTCTCTATCACTTACTCGCTTACTCGCACTCGCTACTCTTTGCTTCTTCAGCGCTCTCGTAGCGCCCCTGGTGTCGGGAAAGCAATGTGCACGTTTTGCCCCACTCCTTTGCGTCCGTTTCTTACTGAATCGAAATTTTCCGTGATTCAGACTTTATCTTAAAATATCTCCACTTAGAGACAACGTACACAAAAAGCACAAGAACACTTTTCTTCCTATTTTTGAAGGCCGAATCGATTGAGTATAAAAAAACCTCGATCGGTTCGGCCATTGCTGAGATATGAAAATCTCACCTCGTTTCAACTCGGAGTTTCGCGTATAATATAATAATAGGCACGGTGTGCCTCTTGATATGCAAGCACGATATGACTATGATCGACTTGAAGTCGGTTTTCCGCCGGAACATCAAAGAAATGAAACGTAGACACGCTATGACTATAATCGACTTAGTCGGTATTTCGGCGAACATTAAAGAAATAATACGTGATACGGATACAATGAGCGTAGATGTGACTTATCCTGCTCAGATCCTGTATCGATCTGCCAATATAGGATCTCTCGTTTTATTCAGTCGTATCATTTCGTATCTGGCAATCATAGCTGATGCTATAGAGTGGTCACAAGAGAAAGTGATGGAATTAATAGACTTTTATAACAAAAAGTACTCTTTGGAATTTAACGGATTCCCATTATTTTAATAAATTAAAGAGAAATTATGCATAGGAGGAAATCGCACGTAATGGAAGATCAGCTGAGCAGTGCAGGAAGAAGATAGAATATCTTCATCATCATTATCGCCATAATTATCGCCATAAGTATTTTCGGTTAATAGGTGCTTTCGCTGCAACAGAGCATCCATCCAACAATACTGACTCCAAGTCGATCATAATCGTATCGTTCCTGCGTATCATCTGGATATGCAGATACGATATAGTGTTTCATCCACACTTAGCCGATTACGATACGCGATCATGATACGATACGGTGATATGACACAAGTCTCGACCTACCTTTAGAAAGCACGCTTAAGCACGTGCGGTTTTCGCATTGTAATGAGATAACAGTATTGTATGTTAATATCCGCTACGCGCGGAAATTGCGGTTTCAGCATCGTGTATGTTCTTCGACGTGGGCCAAGGGTGAGTTGCAAAGGGAGGTCCGAGGCCATTTATTATCCCCATTATCGTGCTTCTGACCTCACTGTCTGCTCCCTCAGGACTCGAAGACACCTATAACATACAATCCCCTTTCACTCTTGATAATGCTGCTCTTGTCTCGTTGTCGAAATATAGTCGACAGCATCGATAGCTTTGGAACCATGTTCGATCGTGTTTCAGCGGGCATTTGTCTATCCATCATCTACGACAATGTATTGACAAGAGAACATTCTGATCAAGAGGTTTTAATTAGTAGTATCAATATAACCCAGATCCCGAGATGATACCGGAGATATCATGGCGCGCTAGTGCCCGGGTCGTACGGTCATTTCATTTATATGAGATTACCGATTTTTTTAGTGGTGATAAGTGGTGATAATTTTGACGGCAGGTATCGTTATTCACTCGTAATTACTTACTAAGAAATTAAAGGTATTCTCCATGCGCATTGATAATGCATTCTCAATATTTATCAAGACATTTCAGTCTATTGGATTCTCGAACACTTATATGTTTACAAAATACGTCATTTTGACTTGTTGTTATCAATTTGCAGTTTTACATATATTTATCTCGATACAATTAGCGAAACGGATTTAAGGCGTTTAAGTAACGGGCAGATATTGATATGTGTGCTGTTATCGGCAACTTTAAATATTCGAATATCAGGGGAGCCATAACTCGGTTTTCGAGTATATGGGCTCGGATAATAGTAACTAATATTGTTTATGAAACGACAAAGACAGAGAGAGAAACATGCAGAAATAATTACGTAGTTGATATTGAGTTTAATATTCACGCAGTTTAATATTCACTAAACCTGATCATAATTGAATGATATTTCTCATAGTTAAGGCTGCACGTGTACTATTTGCGGGAAAGGAATAAGCTATTCAAAGAAAATGTCATTAAGTATTTTATTACAGAACTTGCGCCCATGTTTACTTGTTGCGCTATGTTTTACAACATTGCCGTTATTCAAATGTATGCATATTAGCCTATATGTGACACATCTAAGATTTGCATCATTCTTTTCGTAAGAAATTATATTATTTTATGTTGTTTTCAAATAAATATCCATCCTAGATTCTTCTCTATATTACGCATAACATTTACATTTATTTATATACGTTGGATTAGCGTTACATATGTTGGAATTCGTAAACATCACAATATATCAGATAAGATATTTTTGAGATATTAATCGATTTCTAACTTGCGGAATATCCCATTAACGCCAAATAATTCATCCGCATTTATTATATGATCAGTTCGTAGGGACTCGTTGCTCTTAACTTTTTCTTGCTCCAATAACCATTCCCTTCGTTTCAATAATTTCGAATGCCACATATCTGGAATAAGATAACATTAAAATAAGATCATAAAATTTCGAGCGATCTTCCTATGTCCGAATAATGACTATTTAAATTTCTTAATCTATAGATATTAACGGATTTGTATTGTATGGTGAATGAATAATTGTTGTTATTAGATATCGAAGAAGAGCAGATATAATTTTTTATAAAAACTGAATTGAAAGTACCATATTTTTGATCTGCGCGATTTAGACTTTTTTAGACACATTCAAATTGAAATTATAAAATTATTAAGAAATCTATATATTCGTAATATTGATCGATGCAGTACCTGTTAGGGCTTCCAATGACGGTTCCTCACCACCATAATTCGCAGGTAAATTGGACTTTGATATCATTTCACATATTGATTCTATTCCGGATTCGAAAACTTTCATCTAAAAATGTCACTGTTAGTCAAAATCTCACAATTTGATTTAAAAATTAAATAATTGCATGACAATTAGCATAATGACAATTATACTACAGATATGAATTTTTTGAATGTTTGTAATATCATTTTGTACTTACTCTCTCATAAATTTTTGGACTCATAAACGCTTTTATTAACTGTAAGAATCTACCGATATAAGATGGTGCGTTTATTATATAAATTCCTTTGTATCTCAAACCGTATGCTTCCTGAACAGTTTAAACAAATCACAAATTAATTTGAACAAGACATCATATAGTGTATGTGAGATGCGATTACTTACCAGGCAAAGGTCAAGCTTTTTTACAAGGCTTGGTATGTATTTAAGCATATGATTAAGAGTAAAATAAACAAAATCTATTACTAAAATATCAGAATTTACCATGTCTTCCTCTATACGTATGTCTGTTAACATGAATGTGTATCTGTAATGTGAAGAAACAATACAATACATATCTTTCATCGATTTTATTTTATTTTTTCATTTTCAATGAATTTATATATTCTATGGACTTGTCTTACGTTCGTAAAATCGCAACGGAAAATTTTGTTTAATTTTTACGCTGACCTAATTTTTATTATATTTGATAATTCGAAAAAATATACAATTAATGGAGATGTACATTCTTTATAATTCTATATTACTTTCTTTATAGTTCTTTCTGTCAGAAACATGCAGAACAATTGTTATTCGTTAAATTCGTGGCATGATTTGTCCCGAGTTTTTTATGATATTCGAAACTGCAGATATACAAGAGCATGTGCGAAAAATGCTACGATCTAAACAGCTTCGCAATAATGATGGCGTTAAATAATAATTTCATCGGCATCGAGCGCGAGCACCGCGTGGATTCCGATAGTATGGAATATTCATAAGGTCGCGTCAAGCTGCGCCAGATTTTCTTTTTTCTTTTTGCTCTTTTTTCTTTTATCATCGTTACTAGCTACCGTTGTTTCTTGTAGCTGCGTCATGCGATGATTTATACATTGCCGGCCAAGTAATAAATGCAGCGTGTATTTAAGATCACTTTTATAGTCCTGGGACTTATTAAGAGTGATAGTGACTCTTATGTTGTGTGACGGTATATCTTTGGGACCAGAAAGGCGCGATGTATTTTTGGGATAAAACTTCAATGTCTCTAAGATATCAGTAATACATATATACTTGTTTTTATAATTTGTTTCTACATACTTTATCACATCCGCGAGATGAAAGATAGAAGCGTCTTCGCTTATAAGTCGAAAAAAGGTGATTCGATTTTTTTCTGGCGTCAACTTTGGCAGAATTACCCATTGTCTGCAAGAAATTATGTATTTATGAAGGCACGTTCAATGCAAACAGAAGAAATTGATTTTTCAAAGATAATAAATTTGCAATTATTCTAAATTTTTTTTATTCAATATAGTTTTTTCATCTATTCTTGCACTTTGTTTTATAAAAAAGAAATATTCCCAGTTATTTTATAAAATATACAGGATATTCGACGTAACGGTCTGCACAATTTTTTTAAACACTTTCGACTTTTAAGAAAGAGGTTGTGGGATACGTTTTCAACTGTTTCGTGTAGACTGCAACTTGCAGTGGCGAGCGGTAAGAGAATATTTTTTTCAAAAGGAAATTGAAGTCATCTTGAAATTTTTAAATAGTACCATGCACTGTTTTTTTACATAATACATCACGTTTGTGATAGTACATTAAATTCATCTTCGAAGTCCTTTATAATATTATGTAAAGAAGAAAGCATGGTGTCATTTTTTTGGCAGATTCAGAGTGACCTCGATTTCTTTATGAAAAAAATATTATTTTATCTTTTATGATTGCAGACTGTAATTTACATGAAATGGTCGAAAATTTATATTGCAACCGTTTCCTTCAACCGTCGAAAATATTTAAAAAATTGTGCGAACTATTATACAGAGCATCCTGTATGATTAACATAATTCACTTCGGAGAGTAAGAAAATTCATTTTTAGATTAAATTTATCCGAAGCAAACGCATTAGCGTTCATTTATAAGTATAAAATATAATATTTCTGATTTATTTTTCAATATTATATTCAATATTATATTTTCAATATTATGTTAAATTTTGATTAGTGTTTTTGTTAAATCAGTGTGTCTAATACTAGTTTCGTACGTAACATTTTGTTAAAATTAGCATAAAAATATAGTATAATATACCATATAATATATAATAACGTATTTATATACTTACATGCATTTGTGTACTAGAGCGATGTTGTCATTCTGCGGGTCATAGTTGGCGAAAAACTCGGGAAGCAAGGTACGAAGTGTGTATTGCGAATCTAAACGTTTTTTAGCTTTCTCTAGATCCAATTTTGAAGTTAAAAGGGTGATCCGTAATCGATTATCTGAAATGTCTGCGCGTAATGTAAGATTATGTTTATTATTATGGCATATTAATGCATGTCATTCATTTTTACTAAGTTAGCATGTAATGATAGAATACATCATGGTAACTTGATCAGCTACTAATGATTGAATAGAAGTAATCGACATCCGTATTTCGCAAATCATGAAATAATTCGTTTTATTGAAGTTACATAGAAATTACTTTTTTTTTTAAATCTATCAATCACAATTAATTAGGTATATTTCGTTTGGGCGCAATATATAAACAATTAATCAATAAGCTCTGTTTGAATTTTAAATACAAACCTTGAGGAAGATGAGCTTGTTGTTTTAACCATTGTCGAAATTTATCGAACTTCTCTTCATAGAATTTTTTGTTTCCTCTAGCTATCTCCACCGCTTCTTCAATCGTAATATTTTCTAATTTCATAATGTCCATGGATATTGTCCGCTCCTCACAGAATTATTTTACAAGTACAATCTGAATTATTATTTCATATATTTTAAATTATCTTTTAACTCTCACGATCTTTTAAATTTATATAAAGATGTATTATTTAATTTCTTTGTTTATATATTTAATATATCTTTTTTTTATATTATAAATAATGATAGTAATTACAATAGAACAACAGAACAGCAGTAAAATGATGTTAATAAGTAAAACGTGAACGTTGAAACACTCTCATAAACTCGTCGTCGTATCGTTTCGACAGTCAGTTTTCGACTAATTCTCAAGGAGCGTGTCACCTGTCTTTTAAAAGTTACGGTCAAAATAACGGTTGTTTCTAAAAGTGTTATGTAGAAGTACATATTTATAACATATTTCTTTTAAGTTCTTCAAGTTCTTACATTATTCATTGGAATAAAATATATATAGTTTATATCGAACGTTCAGATTTACTTATTGAGTGGCAATATTTCATTACTTTTTTTCTTTTTCTTTTCTTTTTTGTTCCTTTCTTATTTGTTTAGCAACTGAGTCGTCGTCCGGTTATGTTAAATGATTTATTGACGATTTACCAAGTGCAACTTCATTTAGGTTAATTTTAACCTAATGATTATTTAATCACATAAATACCCTTACGGAAAAAACTACAAGGATACGAAATAATTATTGGTATATTATTGAAAGATTTAAGCTCTTCAATAATATGCTAGTGTATTTTTTCGTATTCTTATAGTTTTTTTCCGTAAAAGTATAATGTATATGTCAGGGATTAAGTCACATTAAGTCACTGAATATAATTCCGACATTAAAATTGATGAATTGTAATGAAAAATAGTGTAAATCCAACATAACAAACACATATTTAAGTGATGTATGAAACGATAATATAAATCATGTAATAGTATTTCGAATAGCCCTATGGCTGATGGGTTGTTTTGCTTATTGTTGCTTATTACTCTCCTTTTTTGCTTTTGTGCCATCTCGCTTGGTTTTCGCCTGCAACCTTGCAGTATACGCGCGTGCAATTTATCTTCTTGTAAAATAACTGCGCACAGATATCGGGCTTGTAATATCTTGTGCAATTATGTAAAAACTATGCTAATAGAAATTACATAGAAAAATCTATTTATAACACTGGTAAGAAGGATAAGAAGACCGAGATAGGGGATCAAGATAGAGCGCGCGGTCGCAGAAGAGAACGATTCCTCCGTGAGACGGCTGGATAGATTGAAAGGAATCTTAACCAGTGAAAGGCGGATTCGGTCATTATAAAAAAAAAGCGTGCGCATTATATATTCAAATGTAAAAATGAATGCTAAAGAAGCCACAAACCAATTAAGTCGACTAAAATCGATATACAATTATGGCCTTCATTTTTTCGAGATTGGTTATTTTTTTGTTATTTTTAATATTCATTTATTCTCCAATGTTTCCGCGTTTGTCTGATAGTTTATTCCAATAATTTAATAGTTTTTTTTAGAAAAATTGTCTATGTTAAATGAACTGATTAATAATTGGTGACATAATCAAAGTTGTAGTTGTAATAGTCAAAGCGGTTATGAACGTGAAAATGGCAATCTTTCGAGAAATTACATCTGTAATATATATTATATATTTTGTATTCTTATTCTTTTTTATGCTATTTGTATCCTATTTTCGATTTGTTTCTGCGCAGTATAAACGCGTTTATACTGCGCAAAAACTAATCGAAAACAGGTATAAAACTGCATTTGAAGATAAATTTAAGCTGGAACCTCAAACAGCTGCTGAGATCATGCGGAGATGCAATGTTTCTATAAAACCAAATATAAAACAGTCTATTTTGTATATATACAGGATGTCCTAAAAGTAACGAACCACCCTAATAACTCTTCAGTATTGAAGTTTCAAGGAAAATTATCTGAATAAAAGTTGTAGGGGTTTAAGTGAGTTACCTTATGATGACCTTGACTTTGACCTTGACCTCTATTTTCAATAATTTTTGTCTAAAACATTTTTTTATTTGTCTAATATTTTTTGAGATATTTGAGAAAAACTTTATAACTTTTTCAATATTTAACTTACGATATCTCATTAACTATTTGTCGGAAGAAAAAGTGGTATTAGACTTTCTTGCTTTATTTAGTCTCAAGAATATATTACAATAGCGCCCTGACTTTTGTTAACTTATTGACTTTTGGAAATTTCAAAATCATCAAATTAACAAAAATCAGGGCGCTATTGTAACAATATATTCTTGAGACTAAATAAAGCAAGAAAGTTTAGTACCACTTTTTCTTTCGACAAACAGTTAGCGAGATATCGTAAGTTAAATATTGAAAAGTTATCAAGTTTTCCTCAAATATCTCAAGAAATATTAGACAAATAAAAAAATGTTTTAGACAAATTTGTTTAAATTAACTAGTAGAAAAAAGCAGTGTAATAAAAAATAAGGGTTCCCGTTTAAAAAACGCAAGTTGACCTCCAAATGACCTTGAAAATAGAAGTCAAGGTCATTATAAGGTAGTTCACTTAAATCCCTACAACAGCGAGCAGAATTTCGCAGGTGGTTTTTCGCCTTTCAATATCTCTTGGCTTCAGTTCATATGGGACCCATTTTCCTTCCTTGTAAACCTTTCCTAAGGCTTTCAAATGATCGGAAATAACAGATTGAGCACAATTTAATGTTTCTGCAAGTTGCTTTTGCGTTTGATATGGGTCTTCGTCCACCAATGTCTGCAATTCTTCGTCTTCGAATACTCTTGGACGTCCAGAACGCTCTTTGCCCTCTACATCAAAATCACCAATTTTAAAGCGTCGAAACCATTCTCTATATGTTTTATCGAAAGGAACATTATTACCATAAACTTCTACAAGCATTCGATGAGCTTCAGCTGCAGTTTTCTTCCAATTGAAGCAAAAGATTAACACTTTACGCAAATGACGCTTATTTGGCTGAAATTTCGACATTTTCGATGCAGTGAAAAACAATGTTATTGATGCAAACGTATACTTTTATATACTGAATTTTATTGACAGATGTCAAAACAAACTACTAAGCTTCGTTTATACATTAGAAGTTAACTACAGTTCTAGCTATAGCTACTTATCGCTAAACGGACGGAACTTTCCGATTTACCTAATATATAGACTTTCTATTTATGTTCTTATATTTTATATTCTTACATATTCATATCAATATTTTAGTATATTTATGAATATCGCATAGTCCATAAATCTTTCTCTCACAATATCACTCTTTATATACAGGGTGTTTGATAGCTGATCATGCAGACGAAAGTTGGAGATAGATTGGGTGTAGCCGAGAAGAAAAGTCATGTAACATAATGCCAAATTGCCAATAGTTATCCAGTTATTAAATAATGGAGCATATTTGGTTTAAATAAATTCATTTTCACACTATAAGAAAATCAGTTGAATTTTACTAAAAAAACGCCACGAACTTTTTCCCAGACCCAATATATGTGTATATACAGGGTATTTGATAGCTGATCATGCAGACGAAAGTTGGAGATAGATTGGGTGTAGCCGAGAAGAAAAGTCATGTACCATAATGTCAAATTGGCAATAGTACCGAGTTATTAATTAAAACATGTGAGCCAATGAGCGCGTAGAGAGCGGAGGGTGACCGCAGTAAGCACATAGACATTTGATACAGGCGGAATCAGCGAGTGGCGGTAGGCGAGCGCACGCGGCGAGAGGCAACGTAAACAACAAGAGGCGAACGCGCGCGACAAGGAGCGAGCGAGCGCGAACGACAAGGAGCGAGTGAGCGTAAGCGACAAGAGGCGAGCGAGCGCGACGAAGAGCGAGCGAACGCGAACGACGAGGAGCGAGCGAGCTATAAGGAAAAAGCTATAAAGGAAAAGCTCGCTCGCTCCTCGTCGCGCGCGCTTGCCTATCGACACTCACTGACTCCGCCTGTATCAAATGTCTACGTGCTTACTGCGGCCGCCCTCCGCTCTCTACGTGCTCGTTGGCTCACATATTTTAATTAATAACTCGGTAACTATTGCCAATTTGACACTATGGTACATGACTTTTCTTCTCGGCTACACCCAATCTATCTCCAACTTTCGTCTGCATGATCAGCTATCAAACACCCTGTATATACACATATATTGGGTCTGGGAAAAAGTTCGTGGCGTTTTTTTAGTAAAATTCAACTGATTTTCTTATAGTGTGAAAATGAATTTATTTAAACCAAATATGCTCCATTATTATCAACAATGTTTCGCCATTTTTCGGGTAGAGCCATGATGCCATCGGTGAAGAACTTCTGTGGTTTCTGGTTGAAAAACTGAATCAAGTGGTTTTCACAGGCTTCTTTTGAAACCAGCTTAATTCCATTGAGAGAGTTCTGCAGAGATCGGAACAAGTGATAGTCAGAGGGTGCTATGTCTGGACTATACGGTGGATGCATCAAAACTTCCCAACCAAGCTCTCGCAATTTTTGACGGGTCATTAAAGAAGTGTGTGGTCGGGCGTTGTCATCATGGAAGACAATACCTTTCCTATTATTCAATTCGGGCCGTTTTCTTTCAATTGCCTGACGTAATCTTTCTAGTTGTCCATAGTAGAGTTGAGAATCAATCGTCTGACCAACTGGAAGTAGCTCATGATGGACAATTCCCTTCCAGTCCCACCACACACACAGCATCACCTTTTTCGGCGTCAATCCTGGCTTCGCGAACGCTTGTGACGGCGCCATCCCTTGTCTACGATCTTTGACGCTTCCGATTGTCGTACGTGATCCATTTTTCATCACCGGTTATGACACGTTTCAGAAATGACTCGATTTCATTGCGTTTCACCATCGCAGATGTTAATTCGGTCTATCATGTTTTTCGCGCTCAACTCATGAGGAATCCATACATCGAGCTTCTTTTTGTAGCCAGCTTTGTGTAAATGGTTCAAAACAGTTTTGTGGTTAATGCCTAGCTCCATACCAATATCGACACTGCTGATGTGCTTATCTTGCTGAACTTTTTCAAGAATTTTATCAGCTTTTTCAGTGATTGGACGACCAGAGCGTGACTCATCTTTCACATTAAAATTACCAAAACGAAAGCGAGCGAACCATTTCCGCGCAGCATATTTTGATAAAGTACCTTCACCGTACACAGCATAAATTTTTTTCACAAGCCTGCGCAGCGTTCTTCCCTTTGTCATAATAATATTGC